CTAGATGACTGGACTGTCAACCTTAGACCTGGTTGCAACTTGGTAGACCACATTAGTCGAGCTAGTTAGAGCCGCTTTACCATCTTGAATCAGCAGCAAATCTACAAATGTGCAACAAAAACCATCTTGACCACCTTATGCATATATGCAAATATTTCCTGATGCGGTTTTGGTTCATTTCTCCATAGGTTTGACGGATAACTGCCGGGATTGTGCCACTCAGTGTCTGCAGTACCTGAAAGAGCTGAAGATGAAGGCCACGCTCCCGAGAGCAGACCCCACTGCCGTCCGCTACGTGGTCCAGCGTATCCTCAGCCAAGGACAGGTGCGACGGGCCAGAGATGGCATCTTCAGACTTTAAATGATGCCAGTGTTTGTGTGGAGTAATAAGTGACCCCTTCCCTATCTTTCGCAGGACCTGCGGCCCAAGGGAGCAGACGTGCGGAAGGAAGAGTTGGCAGATATGGTGGATAAGGAAATGGCTGCGACTTCCTCTGCCATTGAAGATGCTGTGCTGAGAATGGATGTAAGTTAGCACCGTGTTGATGATGCTGGATTCAACTCGAGGATCATTTGCTATGACTTTTTCTTATGTAACACAGGAAATATTGAGCCAGGCAAGACGAGATACTTCTGGAGTGAAACTGGAAGTTAACCAAAGGTTTGTTTGGGATATAGTTTCATAGATAACATAAAGTTTGTCGTGTTTGTGTAATATATTTCAGTTTTCGTGTTTTGTACTATTACAGCATCATCGGCTCCTGTTCGGATCTAATGAAGGTATGTTTAGACTTAACGAGATGAATGTGTTAAATACACTATTGTTTAAAGGTTTAAAAGAAATTACTTGTATGTATTCAACAAGGAGACATTAAATTGATCAAAAGTGACTAATGTTAAATAAATACTTTTCTTTGATGTTAAATAAATACTTTTCTTTGAAACTTTCTAATTATCGAAGATTTCTGGAAAAAAAAGAAAGAAAATATATCATGGTTTCCACACTAATATAAGGCAGCACAACTGTTTTCAACATTGATAATATACAATTTTTTTTCTTGAGCAGCAAATCATCATATTTGTGATTTCTGAAGGATCATGTGACAATGAAGACTGGAGTAAAGTTACTGAAAATTCAGCTTTGATCACAGGAATAAATTACATTTGAAAATATATTCAAATAGAAAACAGCCATTTTAAATTATAAAAATATTTCACAATATTACTGTTTTTACTGTATTTTTAATTAAATAAATTCAGCATTGGTGAGCAGAAGAGACTTCATTCAAAAACATAACAAAATCTATATCAAAATGCAATTAGTTATGTTACCAAAACATTACCAAAATATTTTTCCTAATTACAGATTGATTAATTTATTAGCACAATCATAGTCGGGCTCATTCACGAAACACAAACAGAACAGAGTCAAACAGAGAGTTTTGCATTTTAAAATATATTTAAAAACATTTTAAATTGCAATAATATTTCACAATATTATTCTTTTTAATGTATTTTGATCAAATTCAAGTCTTGTTGAGCAATTCAAAAACCTTTGAACGGTAGTGCATATCAAGATAAATGTCATATTGAATCTCTTCTGTCACCTTGTCCATAGGCTATACACATGCTGGTGACGGCCTCTACTGACCTGCAGAGAGACATTGTGAAAAGTGGCCGGGTAAGATTTGGTTATATGAGTAATTTAAGATCATAAATAATATGCATTCACTTCGTCTTGTTTTGGTCTTAGGGCGCCGGTTCTGATAAAGACTTTTATGCTAAAAATTCCCGTTGGACTGAGGGTCTCATCTCTGCGTCAAAGGCTGTAGGATGGGGTGCGACACAGATGCTGTGAGTACATTTGAGTGCAGATTTAAAGTTTTAACCTCTATCTATTAGTGTACGTCTGCATAACTGATTTACATTCTCACAAAGTGAATCGGCTGATAAAGTCGTGACTGGTGGAGGAAAATATGAAGAGCTGATCGTCTGCTCTCATGAGATCGCGGCCAGTACGGCGCAGCTTGTCGCTGCTTCAAAGGTAAAATCCATGAGAGAGAAATGAGTGTGCTTTCAATCCAATCAGATCAGTTTATTGTGACACATCAATCCTTCATTTAACAGGTAAAGGCGGATCGAGGCAACAAGAAGCTCCAAACTTTACAGCAGGCGTCCCGCCACGTGAACGACATGGCCGCTGTTGTGGTGACCTCTACCAAGTCAGGACAAATGCAGATTGAGGACAAAAGTGAGTGTCAAGGACACAAATGCAAAAAGCGTCAAACATACTCTATGCATGTAGCGATAGCGAAGTGTGTACTCAAGCTATTTTTTCCCCCCCACAGACTCCATGGACTTTTCTGACATGTCACTTATAAAGCTCAAAACAGAAGAAATGGATTCACAGGTTAGTTTACCAAAGCGAAAAAATGGTAGTGTTTTAGGAGTAAAGTGCGCCACAACAAACCAGTGTCAGAAAGGAACTTTTCCTTTAAAAAACTTTTGCTGATAATTTACATATAATATATAATGTCATCCAAGATGTCCATGTCTTTCTTTCTTCAGTCGAAAAGAAATGAAGGTTTTCTTTGGTCTTTCATTTGGACCTTGAAACGGTTCAAGGTCCAAAAGACAGTTTCAGTGCAGCTTCAAAGGGCGTTAAACGACACCAGACGATGAATCAGCGTCTTATCTAGCAAAACGATCGGTCATTTAAAAAATAAATAAAAAAGTTTAAGTTTTATAAGCACAAATGCTCGCCTTTCTCTATTCCGTGATGCGCGTTCGTGACTCTCCTGTTCGAAACTCGTTCATCAAAATGAACGAATCTTTTTTCGAGTCATTTCGTTGATTTCGTTCGTTGAATGAACCAAATGACTCGAAAAAAGATTCGTTCATTTTGATGAACGAGTTCGAACAGGAGAGTCACGAACGCGCATCACAGAACAGAGCAAGGCGAGCATTTGAGCTTATATAACTTTTGTATTTATTTTTGAAATGAGTGATTGTTTCGCTAGTTAAGACCCTTATTCATCGTTTGGTGTCGTTTAAAGCGCTTTGAAGCTGCAGTGAAACTCTTATTTGGATCTTGAACCATTTGGTTCCCATTGAAGTCCATTATATGGAGAAAAATCCTGGAATGTTTTCATCAAAAACCTTAATTTCTTTTCGACTGAAGAAAGAAAGACATGGACATCTTGGATGACATGGGGGTGAGGAAATTATCAGCAAAAGTTTTTTTTAAAAGTAAACTACTCGTTTAAGGGCCAATATTTGCCCCCGAATTGATTTACATTTTTATAATTCCTTTTTGAAATGTATCTCTGTTGTCTTTTCAATAAATCAGAATACTATTAGAATTAGAATTACTATTAGAATTATCATAATAAAATGATATCAACACCAACAAAATCCATCTTTACATTGCCACGGTGGAACAGACATGGCATTTATGCTGTTTAATGCTGCTCAAAGTTTGCACACATGTATTCACATAACAATTGATAGCCAACATAAAGTATAGCAATTTTAAAATGAAATTACTCATTACAGGTTAGGACTGTAAAATCATTATTGTCGATAAAAAATAAGAAAAAGTAGAAAAACAAAATGGAATAAATTATATACAGAAAGCAAGCAAATAAATTCCCAATTATTGAAGCGGTCCGTGTCTTCATTGTACCGTGAGTTATGCTCTCTCACAAAAACTCACATTACAATCACTGTAGCGAAATTAATCTCTTACTCGCATTGTGTCGGCACTTTGTTGATTATGATGAGAGAATTCGCTAGAGCGCACATTCATTTCCGACCCTGCTGCAAACTCACGTTTAACACAGAATCAATTCTGAAACCAAAATGTTGTTTAGACCATCTAATTAAATCTAGAGGATCATTTTGCAAGTAAAATGATTTCCAATTCATGCATAAACATAAACTCCTGTTTGTTTCTAGGTGAAAGTGTTAGAGTTGGAGAAGCAGCTGGCGAACGAGCGCGTGCGGTTGGGAGAGCTCAGGAAAAAGCACTACGAGATTGGTGGGATCCCAATGGACTCGCCTCCGGAGAACGCAGTCAATAGTTTTGACAGTTCGCTGCCCACTGTTTTTCCTGACCCGCCCACAATGGAACTGCCCAGTCTGGATGTGTTCACACTGGATCCACCCAGATTCGAACCTCTGAGACTGGACCCACCCAGACAGGATCTCCCCACACCCGAACCAGCCAAAACCAGCTCGAAACGAACCTCAATCTTTCATAAATCAGGCAGCATCCTCAAGAATCCAGTAAGTTTTAACAGACACTTTTAGCTTTAGACCACTTTACCTGTGTTTCTAGTGTCAATATTGCCATTATAACGACATTCAGACATTAAGCCGTTTTTCTTCTTTTATTTCCTACAGTTTAGGTGAAACTGGTGACCTGGATGTATAAAAAAGAAACCATCTAATAATAATAATGTACATTATTCTGGAGCGCATCATTAGAGTCTCTGTATCTCTGTATTGTATCCTCCTGAATAGTTTGACAATACCATATGTTGTGAATTAAAGATAATGCCTTGTAATTTATATTCTAACTTATATAATCATTTAGTGAGTTACTAGACCTTGTTTTTATTTGTTTTCCAGGCTATTTTTGTTTATCAGCGCCATCAATGTCTGGTACTAAATTTGGGATCTTTTTTCACATTTTAGTTTATTAAAGAAAATGTACTTAAAGTTTTAAATGCAAATTTACAACTACAAATTAACCACGGTGTTACTACACTAACCATAGTTTAACCATATTCTCATTTAATATGAGTTAAAATTAATTATACATACAATAAATAATAAAATGTTTACAATATTTTTGGGTTCGTGTCACACTGTCACTGCTTGATATGTTCTGTCAACTACCCGTTAATTCTTTGATAAAACACAGTTAAACTACCGAAGAATAATAAAATAGTAGGTCAGTGTGGCGCTTGACAGTGATTTCACATTCACAGCGGCCTCAGCTGTGCGCATGCGCAGTAGATGAAGCGCCGCTCAGGAATAAATAAGGGTAGGGAAACCGAACCGCAATGGGACAACTCTTATCTCGGTCCATTTCAGCCTAAAACACCCCAAAATGGCTTTTATTCTCGACGAGGTGTCGTTAGCGAGGTTTTAGGGGGGCTTTGAAGATCTGTTTGGCTACTAAAGGGACTGAGAAAGTTTAGAAGGAAACGAACTTCAGGGACGGTAACGTTCTAGAGACGGTCATGGAGGATTTCGGTTCGGCGTTGGAGAAGAACGTGGCGGATCTGACCGTGATGGACGTGTACGATATCGCCGCAGTGGTGGGTCAAGAGTTCGAGCGCATTATCGATCAGTACGGATGCGAGGCTCTGTCCCGCCTCATGCCCAAGGTGGTCCGGGTGCTGGAGATCCTGGAGGTTCTGGTGAGTCGGAACAGCATCAGCCCAGAGACCGAGGAGCTGCGCCTGGAGCTGGACCGACTCAGACTGGACCGGATGGACAGACTGGAGAAGGAAAAGAAACATAAAAAGGTGCTTTTATAGGCTCGAGAAAATATATATATATATATATGTAATGTTATATGTATGTATATGTATATATATATATATATATATATATATATATATATATATATATATATATATATATAACTTTTATTATTAAATGCGATCATCGTACTGCACTTATTATAATGTTAGGCCTATAATACAGAATATATATATATATATATATATATATATATATAGGTGTGTGTATATATATATATATGCAGTATACAAATACAGTATACATATATCTCAAATTTAAAATTTATATTTTACATATACACAGTTAATATATTAATATGTTTGTATTTTATATTTATTGTATTTAATTAATATCAATATTTATTATGTAATTAATATTACATTATAATAAATATAAGTAATTTAATATATAGATTGTATTTGTAAGTTATTATTAGTAACAATATATATTTATATATTATATTAATATTAATTTTAATCTTACTACTTCTACTACACATTACATTATGAAGTTGTTTCAGAAGTGGTGTTTCAGAACAAAGCTGTGTGTACATGGGAAAGTCTAAGTTCCTGCCCTGGACAGGAAATGATGGAACTGAACCACAGTCCATCACCATCATGTAACATCGTGTCCATTATGTGAGAATCTTAGGTGCTACACTTGCCATAATACCATGGTATTATGGCAAGTGTAGCACCTAAGATTCTCACATAATATCACATAAAATCATTTAGTTTTTACATTGATATCTACAATATGAGCAGACATATGAATTAGTTCTGGGTGGTAAATCGTGTTCGTTCGCTATATCTATATATTTTTTTATAGACGGGCAGACAGTACTGTTTATATATCTATATATAGTACATAGTTTGGCATGCACACATCTGAAAAAGAGCCTAATAATTATGACAAAAACTGCTACGTTTTGCTAAAATATTTGTTGTTGGACATGGAAAATAAATGTGCCATATATAGAATTTGAATCCTACAAGTGAGTGTATTGTATGATAGCAGTTACTGTAAATTGACAATTGCAATGAGGTAATCAAATAACCTAATATAATTAGTCTGCCATTGTTTTCATTCATTTTTATTTTCAGTTTAGTACATTGAAATTGTGCTCAAAAAGCATTGTAATGATACAGTGTTTAGAATGTGTGAAATTAAACCTATTTTTGCACACAATATATAACATAGCCTATATGTTATTTGTTGTAGACACTGTTTGTAGGACAACACTGGGCAGGATTGTGAAAAAAAAGTTTTTTTGTTTGTTTTTTATAAATACAGATTTCTTTTTTTAATCTAAATAGAGAAATGTAGAATATACCAAGTGTATAGCCTACTATATATTGCCATTCAGTCAAGATATGATATTTTGTCCATATCACCCAGGCCTGAATACAGCTTTTGTCCTTCTGTGAATTTGTTATTATGCTCCTCCTGCTTTGTGTGTTTTTTTGCTTATTGTTTCAGACATTACGTAACTCCAGTGAAGGTCAGTTGTTAAATATACACTCATGTATATTTTATGAGGCACTTCTGAACTGTGTGTGTGTGTGTGTGTGTGTGTGTGAACAGGAGCTGGAGTTGGTAGAGGATGTGTGGAGAGGAGAAGCCCAGGATCTGTTGTCCCAGATCTCCCAGCTGCAGGAGGAAAACAAAACACTGCTCAACAACCTGTCCGTCAAAGAGTATCCGATGACAGAAGAGGACATACAGAAACAGGAAGGTAGTGTAAAAGCTCAGTGTTCATAAAAAGAAAGCATTGTGTCAGTCTCAAACGGTGTCAAACTCTATATCCCACAATGCATTGTGCTCCACTTGATCTTCCATTTCCAATGTGATGAAATACAACCATATTTGACTTATTTGATAAGGCATCCAAAACAAAATGTTAACCAAAAATGTATTAAAAACACAAAATGACACAAAATGTAGTCAGTAAGTATTCCATTTGAAACGTAGCCAGATGCTGTTTTCCCAGGATGCCTGTACCGGATATAAAGCAAACACGTGATCACGCCCCATAGGAATTCTCACACATTCTTTCAGCCATTTAGGAACTGACACAAACGCTTCACAAAGCGTCCCTTCTCCATGTGACAGAAGACGAGGCAGTGCGATTACGGCACGAGCAGCACAGAGAATCCACAGTGACCCACACAGTCTGATTCAGTGTCAAACGCAGAGCGCAGCTGTTTACACAAGCATCCCAGCGCCACTCTCAACACTGATGTAAAAATGCAAAGAGCTGTTTGAATAGAATGCAGGAAATTACTTGTATCATAGGCAATAATTGTATCATATATCAATAATATTCTGGGTCATTTACAGCTTAATGTATATGGACAGCACCTGTGATGTATATATAAATATAATAATAATTATATAATATAAATTAATATATTAAAGTTTATATATATATATATACTGTAAATATATATAAGCGTCTGATTATTAAAAATGAATAAATGTTAATATTAATATATTAATGTATATTAAAGGAGTAGTTCACTTTAAAAACTTTTGCTGATAATTTGCTCACCCCTGTCGAAAAGAAATTAAGGTTTTTGATAAAAACATTCCAGGATTTTTCTCCATGTAATGGACTTCAATGGGAACCAAATGGTTCGAGGTCCAAAAGACAGTTTCAGTGTAAACTGTTCAAAGGGCTTTAAACGATTCCAGACGATGAATAAGGGACTTATCAAGCGAAACGATCGCTTTAAAAAAAATACCAAAGTTTAAGTTTTATGAGCTCAAATGGTCGCCTTGCTCTGTTCTGTGATGCGCATTCGTGACTCTTCCTGTTTGAACTCATTCATTAAAATTAACAAATCTTTTTTCGTGTCATTTGATTCTTAACAGAAAACGAGAACGACTCTGAACGAGTTGTTCTTCTTTCATTTTTCATGAACGATGAACGAGAGTCGTGAACGCAACATCGCAGAACAGAGCAAGGCGACCATTTGAGCTTATAATAAAACTTACTTTGTTATTTTTTTTTAATTAGCGATCGTTTCGCTTGATAAGACTTATTCATCGTCGAATCGTTTAAAGCCCTTTGAAGTTTGCAGTTTGCCTGAAACTGTCTTTTGGACCTTGAACCATTTGGTTCCCATTGAAGTCCATTATATGGAGAAAAATCCTGGAATGTTTTCATCAAAAACCTTAATTATTATTATTTTTTTTCGACTGAAGAAAGAAAGACATGGACATCTTGGATGACATGGGGTGAGTAAATTATCAGCAAAAGTTTTTTTTAAAAGTGAACTACTCCTTTAACTTATATAATAACAACATCCCAAAAAATCCTATCATTGCATCCCTAATTATATTTTTTTAGCCGATACCAATATTTGTAACTTGCTCACTTATTTAAAGTTTGGTCATTAAAGCTTTCTCAATCAGCGCACGAATACTGAAATTAGCTCTGTTTTCATGTTTTCTTGCGCTTGAAGGACATATTCACACAAAATGATTCTCGGCAAGTACCCTAGTAAACGCAGTCAGTTCTGGCTTGAGTGAACGTAAACAGTTGAGAAAGAAAACGCATGTGTACAGTATCAATGGATCTGTGTATTAGCTCTTAAAGTGATAGCAGCATAATATTTCTGATGCAGAGAAAAAATCACTCACTGCTCTCGACTGATCTATGTTTAATTTATACAATGAAGACTATCTAGTGTTAATTTACATTTGATTACTTTATTTAATGTCTCTACATGAAAACTACTGTTATTTATCTTTAATAATGTTTTTCATTCATTTTAGCTTAGTAGTTTTAGCCGTGGTATCGAAATTGCAATAGAGAATTGTGTATTTTAGCTGGTATCTAAGTCATCGGCCATTGGCAGGTGTGGAAAAAAGTTAGTTTTAGGCCCTATAATTAAACTTATGTTTTAAGTACGTATTTAACTCTGAATATTCATTGAAGGCTGGCAACATTATATTTCTAGGTCATGACAAACATGAAGTGTGTCAATGGTTGTGTGTCAGATGCTCTGCACGGACACAGAGCTATTTTAAGAGCAGCAACATGGGCACTCAGACAAGAAGTTATTTGCTTACAGTGTTCATCAGACTTCTTGTGTCTCTCCAGTGACCTGGTCCGTGCAAAACAAGAACTTAACCCTGAAACTTCCTGCAACTAGTGTGCCAATCAAAAATGCCCAATATGCTATCGATTAAACATGCATTATATTTTGATATTTCTCTGAATGTCAGTTCTCTGTGTAGTAAATAAGGCTGTTTTTAATTTGTGATTCCAGGCATGACTGAGAGGGAGCGACAGGTGATGAAAAAGCTGAAGGAAGTTGTAGATAAACAGCGAGACGAGATCCGCGCCAAAGACCGCGAGCTGACGCTCAAAAACGAGGACGTTGAAGCGGTAAGGAGCTATGTTTCTGATCAAAACCCTTTAGAGCTCTGATTTAACTCAAGAAAACAAGACCGAAAGATGTCAAAGTCTTTTCGCAGGATGAATAATCAAAGTTTCACTCAGAGATTCATCATATTGTGGATGTTTAAAGGGATACTTCACCTCTGGAAAGATGAATGTGTATTTAAAATGAGTCATTTATGTAGAAGAAATGTGAAATTATTTTTGAATTTGGTGCTTTCTAGACTGAAAAAAGCCAGAAAATGTGTTTTTGACTTATGTGGATGAAAGACAACAACTCCCAGAATGCACTTGCTCCGCTGCCCTAGGAGGCCACACCTATTGGTAACAGAGCGCAGTAGTTAAACAACAAGTCTAGGCTACTAGTGAGTCTCTGTGATGAGTCTCCGTGTTTCGAGATCGCCCAAAATGTCCGGAATTCGGCTTTTGCGTTCTACAGTCGCCATTCGTCATGTTTACTGTGGCGAGCAGGACGAGTGAGGGCCGCGGGAGAACAGCGCGAGGACGGTGGCGTGATTACCGATGAGCGACGCCTGTGAGACGCACCGGTCTCGTATCTCTCACGGAGGAGCGGGAATTTTCTTAGCAATGTTAAAACGCACATCAACCGATCGCTTGTTTAGCGTTCATGTAAACACTACATTCAGATCCACCAATCGCAAGTTAGATTGAAATAAAAGCTGTGCATGTAAACAATGAATGGCGACTGCAGAAAGCAAAAGCTGAATCCCGGACATCGACGGCCGGACTTGTCCGGGAAAAAGAGGATGGTAACCCCGACTACTCAGCTTTCTCCACAGAACAAGAGCCTGCTAGCTTAGCTTCCAAAACAAGATGGCCGACACTGACTGTAGTCCTTAGCCTCTGGCCAAAAAAATCCTCAGATGACGCAAAATGACTATTTTTGCGTCATCGGAAGATTTTTTCCAGACAAAAAATACATAAATCTCTCGTCTCAGGGGGATATGAGGGTGGAAAGCACGGTTATTCGAAAATACTACAGGTTTTCTACTAATACAAAGCTAAATGCTAAATCCTGAAGTATCCATTTCAAATGCTGTTGGATGTCTTCCAGCTCCAGCAACAGTTGAACCGGCTGATGAAGATCAACCATGACCTGAGGCATAAGATCACGGTGGTGGAGGCCCAAGGTAAATCCCTGATCCAGCAGAAGGTGGAGCTGGAGGCGTCTGGTCAGGCAAGACAGCAGGAGCTCGGGAACCTGCGGCAGGAAGTGACCCGTCTTAAGGAGCGACTGAAAGAGCAAGGCAAGACCAGCGCTGAGACAGAGGAGCCTGTAGGACCACCCTCACCTGCAAAGGTACATGAGTGGAGATGATGTTGCTTCGATTGTGTTGGTTTTAGACATGCATGTTGTTTAGCAACTCATGACGTTTTTTGCTGATGCCACACCACAAGATATTCGGGCTGATTTCTCCCCTTCCGACAGTCCTAAATGAAGTCCAGATTATCTAAAGGTTCAACAGATTATTTTATCAGATTTTCATGTGGTGTGAGGTGTGTTAAGTGTGTTAAGAATGACCGAACCTGCTCGGAAGAACGATGTTAAATGCTTACGGTCAGAAATCCTGATGTGTGGTGGCAAACGCGCACATACTCTTTTGATTGTCAGGTGACACAAAAGCATCAATGGGTTATGAAATTACATTTTCTGTTGGAAAGAGAGAAAATGTCCAGGGTGCTCAGGGAGTTCAAAAAGGTATTTGAAGGTGCTCTTTGGGGTTGGGATTTCAACGTCATAGAGAAATGGAAATCCAAGGCACTCTTCTTTAGAAAATATAAAAAGCCTTTATTAGACTGGCTATATCATAATAGAAAAGATAGTTAAAACATGTGGGGGAAAATACAACCTGCTTGTGTCTCTGCTTGATTCCTATGCATTGAGCCACTTCAGTGTTGAACTGCAGCACTCAGTCATTTCTATTTCTATTTAAAGGAAGTAAGTGTGATATAAAGCATTGGAATGTTCACATGGTGACCATAATGAGTCAGAATGAAACATCAGTGAGTCACAGGGGAATCTAGGATGAGAAGATAAATCAGTACACAGTATATTTGAAGTGCAACTATTTGTTAATTAGGGCTGTGAACTTTTGGGATTCATCGAACATGTTTAATTTAATGCAGTTTTGCACATATGCTTACATTTGATTGTTTATCAGCAAATGATGATGATGATAAAGTGATCGCATGGTGTGTTTGTTTAGAAATCAAATGCAGTTGAGATTTTTGAACAGAACTAAGTAAAGTCATTTGCATTGCAAGTTCGTTCCAAAGTTTGGGGTTGGTGAGATTTTTAAGTCTCTTATGCTGACAAAGGAATTGCTGCTCAAAAAAGAAACAATTATTATTATTATTAATGTTGAAATCTGTGATACATATTTTGCAGGATTTTTTTGATGAATAGAAACAGTAATCGAAAAGGAAATAGAAATCTTTTGTAGCAATACAAATGTCTTTACTGTCACTTTTGATCATCTTGATGCATCCTTGCAGAATAAAATCTTAATGACCCCAAACTTTTGAACCGCAGTGTGGTGCAAATATATACAGTATTATCGATGGTTGCTTGCCAGTGTTCAGTTGTTAAAGGGATAGTTCACTTTGAAATAAATTTTTTGTATGTTTTATCTTACCTCAAGGGCATCCAAGATGTAGGTCTCTTTGTTTCCGCAGTATTTTCAATTTTGATATTTTTAGGTCAAACCGTTCGCAAGTCTATGGTCACCACCTCAAAGAGCATGCAAAGAGAAGTCCAAATTAAACATGATTTAATGACTCGTAAATGTAAGTACACATTGATGGCCTAAGATACGAAACGAGCGGTTTGTGTGAGAAAACGAACAGTATTTATATCGTTTTTACCTCTTGTCCGTCCTTCGGATGAGACGTTAAACCGAGGTCCTGACTCTCTGTGGTCATTAAAAATCCCAGGATGTCTTTCGAAAGAGTAGGGGTGTAACCCCGGCATCCTGGCCAAATTTGCCCAGTGGCCTCTGTCCATCATGGCCTCCTAATCATCCCCATATACACCAATTGGCTTCATCACTGTCTCCTCTCCACCAGAAAGCTGGTGTGTGGTGAGCGTTCTGGCGCAATATGGCTGCCGTCGCATCATCCAGGTGGATGCTGCACATTGGTGGTGGTTGAGGAGATCCCCCCCTCTATGTGAAGCGCTTTGAGTGTCCAGAAAAGCACTATATAAATGTAACGAATTATTATTATTTTTATTATCTTGTAACCACAGTCAAGTCCAAGTGATCTGAGGGCACGGGGGCGCATTGTGGCTGTGGTTACAAGAGGTAAAAACGATATAAATACTGTTCGTTTTCTCACACAAACCGCTCGTTTCGTGTCTTAGGCCATCAATGTGTACTTACATTTGCGAGTCATTAAATCATGTTTAATTTGGACTTCTGTGCATGCTCTTTGAGGTGGTGACCATAGACCTCCATTATATGACTGACAGACAAGAACAGTTTGACCTAAAAATATCAAAATTGAAACTACTGCCGAAACGTAGACACCTACATCTTGGATGCCCTTGAGGTAAGATAAAACATATCAAAAATTAATTTCACAATGAACTATCCCTTTAACCTCAGAGATGAGTTTAATGTCTAACACAGTTACATTTAAGGCAGATTTACTTCATTTGACATTGGCTTGTATCAGTAAATAATGGCGAGAGAACAATGGCATTGTATATTTGTTTAGAAATCAAATTTATTTGGACAATTTTGAATGAATTTAATTATTATCATAGCTTAACTTCTTCTGCACGAAATATCAAAATTTGAGACAAATCACACTAATAATAGCAAAAGGTCATGAGATTAATTGTGATTGTTTTAATCTTTTAATATTATGTAGTGTGAAAGACTGCATTTTTTCTTTTGTTTTGGCAAAGAAAACCCGAAAGAAGAAACAAAACTCCTTTTTAAAAAAAATTGTGCTAGTTTGTGTTTTTATATCTCTGATTTTGTGCCATTTTGTTCCGTTATTTATTTCAACTATTCACCCAAACAAACACTCCGGATAAAATGTTGGTGCAATCCACGTTTGTGTAACCACAGTCGACTAAAGCGTCCCCGTCCTGGGGTCAGGATTTAGCCTCTGAGCTCCTCGCCGGGGGCCTGGAGATCGAGGAAGGTCCCCTCTGTTTCACCCCCCACACAGGGGCCCCAAGAGCCCTGACAGAAGACACTGAGGAGGAGGATGATGATGATGATGAAGAAGCTGTGTTTTTAAGGGTAACCCTCCAGCAGCAGCTCTAAGGATAGCATGGAGTGTAAACTAACACCTGACCCATATCTGTGACTGTTTGCACGAGTGTGTGCAGCTGGTCCTGCACTAACGGCTCTAGTCCTTCACACAGATACACACTCATTGTGAAGAGTGTCACCTGACTGTAACTGCAGCCTGCATGTGTGCAGGACAGGTGTTTGTACTGAATGCAAACCATGTGACTGAATTAAATGATGATCATGAGATCGTAGTAGATCATAACAGAGAGCTTGCGGTCTACTGTAATGCACTGTAGTTCATTTACATTTACAATCAGAGTCAACTGTCAACCTGCAATGGCCGTGTGATATGAAAGTAAAGGGGATGTTGTGTGAAAGACCCATTTTTTTTTTATCTTGCTGAGATATTTCCCTTTGAAACAGGAAGTGCTCAACCGCTATTCATCATTTTATCTATTTCTTATGTACTCTGCTGTTCAAATGTTGGGGCTCAGTACGATTTTTAATGATTTTGAAAGAAGTCTCTTTTGCTCGCCAAGCCTGCATTTATTTAATCAAAAATGCAGTCATATTTTTCAAATATTATTACTAGGGCTGTACAAAGATTAATTGCGATTAATCACGTCCAAAATAAAAGTTTGTGTTTACAACATAATATATGTGTGTGTGTATAATTATTTTGTATATATAAAGACATATGCATGCATGTATATATTTAAGAATTATTTGCTGTATATATATATATATATATTATATATGAATAACACATTTTCTTAAATATATACATGCATGTGTGTATTTATATATACAAAATAATTATACACTGTGTTCAATATAATATAATTTGTGTGTGCTGTGTATAATTATTTTGTATATATAAATACACACACATGCATGTATATATTTAAGAAAATGTGTTATTCATATATAAAATATTTATATATATATATATATATACAGTATATATACAGCAAATAATTCTTAAATATATACATGCATGCATATGTCTTTATACAAAATAATTATACACAGCACACAAATATATTATGTGAACACAAATTTCGCAATTAATCTTTGCACAGCCCTAATTATTACAATTGTAAATAACTGTTTTCTATTTGAAAATATAGTAAAATGTTATTCCTGTGATCAAAGCTGAATTCAGCATCATTACTCGAGTCTTCAGTGTCGCATGATCCTATTTTTATTATTATTAATGTTGAAAACAGTTGTGCTGCTTCTGTGGAAACCGTGATGCACATTTTTCAGGATTCTTTGATGAATAGAAAGATCAAAAGAACAGCATTTATTCAAAATAGAATCTTTTGTAACATCTTGTTCTGTCACTTTTGATCAATTTAATAAATCAAAGTTTTCTTGAATCAAATGTCTCACTGACCCCAAACCTTCGAGGTTTATATTTAGTGCAGTAGTGTATATGTAAAGCTTTTAGGAAAATATCAGTTGTCAGATTTGAACTAAAAGCCAGCAAACTCTAATTTCAATTTTATTGGGTCTTTAGAAACAACTGAATGTGTCTTGTGGTGTGTTTTTTTGTCTTCTTGTGGTCTGATAATGAAGATGTGTGTGTCGCTAGTTTAAAGCAGCCTGTTGTTCTGTATGAAGACTAGTGTGTGTGACTGTAAGTGTTCCTCTCATCCACCAGGAGGCGCTGTGTGATGATGACATGTCCACTCTAGATCCAAAAGACCCGAACCGCCCGCGATTCACCCTGCAAGAGCTGCGGGACGTCCTGCATGAGCGCAATGAGCTGAAAGCTAAAGTCTTCATGTTGCAGGAGGAAATCGCCTATTACAGAAGGTCAGCAATCTAAAGTTTTACAATTTGGTCAAGCACATGTTTTAAGAAATTTCATACATTCATGAACTGTTCTTAATTATAACTTATTATTACAAATAATATAATATATATAGTTTTTGATAGTATATATTAATGATTTGACCACATGAGTACATGTACGTTATATAAAATGTATGACTTATTTTCTAATCACATTTACAGTGAAGAACAGGAGGAGGAAACAGGGCCGCCGCTGCCAGATCTCTCTCCTACCCTTCGGCCAAGCTCTCGCTCCAACTTTCAGCCCGAGTCGGGGATAAAGCGACTGTGCGTATCACTAAAAGAGACAAACTTCTACACACACTTGCACATACATATATTACAGACATACTTAATCCTCTAAACCAGCACCATTTTGGTCTTGTGTCAAGAGCACATATGATGGACAAAAATGTTGCTTAGGTTTAGCACAGGAACAGGGCTGAACTATGTGCGTCGTGGGCAATGATGTAGATGTTCATGCGTTTCTCAAGTCATGTCATATTTATTTATATAGCAAAAAAAACAACAAATTAATTAACTTCAGAAAAATCGTATTCAAACTGGAGAAGGACCGCATCGATCACCAGATGTACAATTACTGGCTCTCATAATAAAAGTAAAAAGAAAAAAACGTATTTAATTAATATAATATTTTTTTCAAAATGCTGTTAAAAAATATGTAGGCCTACCCGATTAAGGTTAATTAAAATGCCGCCTTATTAATGAGCAAAACGTTCGGATGTTAAGCACACCATTTACGGTGTACCAATTACGATTTCTTGCGTACCAACTAACATTTGGAAAATACAAACATTTTAATGAATCCGAAAATTTACGCCAGAACCACTTTACACACGATTAACACAAAAATTCGTTCGTGTTTCATGAATGAGACCCTGTGTGTGCGGGTTGAGGGAGAATTAAACAATTCGCGGGGCTCCTGCAAAGTACAAATATCTGTGAATAAAACCTAAAAATCCTCTAATTATATCAAACAAAGTGTATATATTATGAAAGCTTCATTGATAATAACAGATGTGTGAGATTGCGATGAACTGTCAGCTTTTTAGGAATTATTAAGGGAGCGCATAGTCATGCAAAACCATGCATGCAGGAGCTTGCTTGTATGTTATAACAATGGTTTGTGTGTTAATGCCTTAGTAACAATTAATTTATCAGGATCATTTATGCTGATTTGTATGGTGGCGGCACGTAGGCTAAATTGAAAGTATTTGGAGGTAGGCCTACAGGAAAAAAAGTATTTTTGCGGGCGGGAGCGGGACGAAACGAAACGAAAGTAATATAGAAAGTAGTTGAGAACGTCAGTTATAACAACCCACGTATTAAAAAATAGCCAGGTTTAAATCATTTAAATGATTAGATTTGTTTTCTTAAATTCCATATAATATTTATATTGTTATGGGATCAAATCACCTGGATATTTAAAGTAAGAACATACAAACTTTGGCATACAGTACTAATTTAGAATGCAATTTCTTTTTAGTTGTTTTTTTTTTTTACAAGATGGGAAATGTTTAATTAATTCTTGTTTACTCGTGTTGATTTAATTTATTTTTATTTTAGAGCATTTAAAGTGCTTCTTAATGATACTTTATTTATTACACACAAGTTATAAGTAATTATAATTTCTTATTACTACTAAATAAGTAATAAAAGTCACAGAGATAAAAAATGTGTAAAACTAGCCTGTGTGTGACTTGGTATGACTAAGTTACGACTTGACTTGACTTGACCCTTACAACAGAATGACTTGACTTTGACTTTTGACAATGTTAAGACTTGGACTTGACTTGATGCTTGGATTTAGTGACTCACTCCCACCTCTGGTATAAATATAACTTTATGTGAGCGTACTGCATGTATGTGAATAAAGCTGAATATAATATCCAACTTTACATATAGAACTGTGCAATAACACAAAGCAACTTGAATTGCAATCAACGAATGCATTTTATCAGTTCATGCATTTGTTGGGAATTGAACCTGTGACATGCTGTTTGGGCTAAATGAACACTAGACCATAAAAAGCAGTTACACATTCGCTTAACTGCAGGCTGATAGACGCACAGAGTTTTCTGACAGGATATGACACATCATGACCATCATTAATGCTGCCATTCGCATCTGAAATGCTGAAGACTCTTTTAGAAACAGGTTCTCTTTTCAACTCTCCATATCTGTGCCTCTTTGTAACAGGATCTTCACAGCCATTATGCCGATGGTGGCGGCTGGGTTGATTGCAGATGACCCCACTTTACAGCCAATCAGACGACTTATTTCCCTTGTACGACCTTTTGGTGGTTCACCTTTGTGTTGTCTGCTGTTTTAACACCCTTATCCTCCCCGCATGTGATGGAGCTGCATGCCCCCCTCATCTCACCCCCTCATTAGAGCCACTGATCATAGTAAAGAGCACATTCTGATTGGCTGATTGTGGGGCTATCTGTACGACCAATCAGCAGGAGGATCGTTAGAATCAGCCAGTCAGAATCAAACTCCCGCTCACTCCTCTAACACTCGTGCTGCGCTGTAACCAACTATATAACATTGTGTCACTACATCGTGCCAACTAAAAGTGTGTGCTTTATAGATGCGTAGAAAGATTGAACACTTGATTGTCACTGCCTGAATGAGCTGGAATGTCAAGCGAGAGTACGAATACACAACCAACTAAATTTTTAGCATTTATGAGATGCTTTCTGACATTAGTAAGACATTAGTAATGATGTAGGGATATGTAGTGTGACGGTTATGGTAGTGTGAAACATGTCTTGCAAGATATTATATGTGTAAATGTGGGATATATATATATTAGAATTAGAATTTATAGTTATTTTTATAGTAATAATGATGCCAAAAAATTATATTTTGTCTCAAAATCAAATTATAGACAATTATATACACATATATTTTGGATATTTAAATATAAACTTTCTGCATTTTTTTGTATTCTAAAATAACATTGCAAAAAAAAAATATTGTCAGAAAATATTCAGGTTTTTTATATATATATATATATATATATAATTTATAGTTAGTTTTATTATAATAATGATGCCAAAAGAGTCATATTTTGTCCCAAAATCAAATTATAGACAATTATATACACATATATTTTGGATATTTATATATATTTAATTATAAACTTTCTGCATTTTTTTTGTTTTGTTTTCTAAAATAACATTGCAAAAACAAAAAAATATTGTCAGAAAATATTCAGGTTATTTATATATATATAATTTAGAATTTATCGTTAGTTTTATTATAATAATGATTCCAAAAGAATCATATTTTGTCCCAAAATTAAATTATAGACAATTAAATAGACATATATTTTGTATATTTATATACATTTAAATATAAACTTTCTGCATTTTTTTTCTATTCTAAAATAACATTGTAAAAAAAATATTGTCAGAAAATATTCAGGATATATATATATATATATATATAGATAGATATATATATAGATATAGATAGATATAGATTAGAATTTAGAATTTATAGTTATTTTTATAATAATAATGATGCCAAAAGAATCACATTTTGTCCCAAAATCAAATTATAGACAATTAAATACACATATATTTTGTATATTTATTTATATTTAAATATAAACCGTCTGCATTTTTTTTGTATTCTAAAATAACATTGCAAAAAAAAATATATTGTCAGAAAATGTTGAGGTTATATTTATAATATTTGTCAAAATGACGACATTTTACTCTAAGTACAGTTGTGAATTGAATTATTATTAATTTAATATAATAATTTCATTTTATTCATGATGCTTTTATTTTAGAAAAGCATAATCTAAACTTTTTTGCTTTATGGTAATGAGAATTAGCAAATTATCATAAACATAATGGGGGGGAAAAATCGAACTTCTTTCATGCATTTTTTTTTTTTTTTTTTTAATTCTGGTGTGAAATATGATATTACTTTGTGCAATATAACCATAAATCATCAATAAAAAATTACACTTGAGACTGTTTCACAATAGCCCAAACGTATATGAATCAATCTATTTCTTTAACCATAGTTTATGGACACAATCTTGCATGGCATTGAAAACAAATGATGCTGATGTCCTGTCTTTCATTCCCAGGTTTAGCTTCTTTTCCCGGGACAAAACCCGAGGTTCGCAGAGGAGGATGCCGCAGATGGGAGACGGCTTGGGCTCGTGGGCAGTGAAAGAGGACGTGTACACAGAACAGGCCCAGGAGGCATTACAACACATGTAACCAACACACCGCTCCACTAACCGTTAACCTGCACCATGTGACCGTACGCCACGTTTACGCTCCCTTTCATGGTCAGACGAGACAAGAGCTCACAAAGGGAACACGGGGGCTGTTTCGAGTTACTGATAGATTGTGGCCCTTACCTTCATCCAAAAATACTGTTAGGGGGTTTTATGTGCCTATTTTGTTAGATAGTTAGACATTTTATTGCTATTGCAAATGATAAGTTACTGTAAGCGGGAGAATAGAAGATTTCAGAGAGTTTTCTGATGATGTTTAAAAAGAAGATGCCTTAAGTAGAGAAGATATATTTATAATTCAAATTGAATTATGAACGAGACACAATGACAAGTAACCATGAATATGCATGTGGCTGAAAAAAAAAAATTGTTTTTTAGATTTTCAGTAGCTATACCCAAGCCTGAAAAAAGATTAGCCTATATGGTGAATCATATTTAAAACTTTTTTTTTGAAATTGCACAGTAGCTTAATTAGTAAAATGTTGAGAATTTAAAGGAATATATGACGTTCAAAACTTAATTTCTTCTGACATCCTCCATGGCATGCTGTAGATATCATGGAAAATTACTTTGACTTGTCCTTCAGTTGGTAACAGATGTTATTTGGGGCAAAACTTATTAGTTTTTTTTTTTCAGTATTTTTGAATAATGTTTTGTGGGAAGAGGTCACGTTTTCCCATTAAAAGTATCTTCTGCTCTCCAAGGCACTAAATCAGTAATATTTTTAAATATTATTTCACATTTTCAATTTTTAATATATTTAAAAAATGTAATTTATTCCTGTGATGAAAGCTGAATTTTCAGCATCATTACTCCAGTCTTTAGTGTCACATGATCCTTCAGAAATCACTTTAATATGATGATTTGCTGCTCAAGAAACATTTTATTATCATCAATGTTGAAAATTTACATTTTCTTCAGGATTCTGTGATGAATAGAAAGCATTTATTTGAAATAGAATTTTTTTTAATATTATAAATGTTTTTACTGTCACTTTTGATTAATTGAATGCGTCCTTACTGGATAATATATATATATATATATATATATATATTAGAGCCCGACCGATAAAGGATTTTGAAGGGCGATACCGATACAAAAAATATTTTTGGGTTTTAAAATCCGATATTCCGATATATCGGCCGATAATTATTTATTATTTTTTTTTTTTTCAGAAACGCGCAACACAACATTAACAGATTTCCCTAACATTAGTTATTTGTAGTTATTTATGAGTTTTAACTAAAATAATATGATAAAGCATTTTAAAAAGAAACTTGTTTCTTTTGTCACAACAGAACAGAGGAACATCAAATTATATTAAAGTTCTGATAAATAAAATAATAATTAGTCCCTACATTGCCTTATAATCTACCTTATATTTACAATGCATGCTTATCCCTTTACCTGCACTTTTTAAATTCATTCAATCAAGCTTCATCAAACCATTTTCAATCATCAGTTGCTGCCTGCCTTTAAAAACCTACTATTTAGCGATTCTAAATCCATTACAGAACGACAGTCTGCAACGCACACTTGGCGTCGTTGGATTTCTCACACGTGTAAAAGAAAAGCTAACTTTTCTGCACAAGCTACGTTTGATACTTTTTCTCTGTCTAAATGTTCACTCCTTGCAAGTCTAACTTACATTTTACAATGCAGGGCTGTAACTAGAGATACGCTAGTTATAAATACAGTAATCATTACTTTATTTAGGCAGAAAAAGTTCATTATGGTTTCCAAGCTCATTAATGTTAACGTTAGCGGTCTTCCACTGATGATAGGGGTATTAGCTGGCTTTGTGGTTATCTAGTCTATGATGAGCCATAATTTAGCAATGGATAACGTCATACTGCAAGTTGTAAAACATACATTTTCAATATAACAGGCCAAGGAGAGATGATTGAAGCGTGTTTCGTCCGTTTTTACTTTATTTTTGAAATATTCATTTATCGGCCATTATAACTGCCGATACCGATATTTTGGAAAATGCCTGATATCGGCCGATAATATCGGTCTGGCTCTAATATATATATGTATATATATATTACTGACCCCAAACTTGTGAACTGCATCACGTCATATGGTCATGAAAGTGGTTTTAATCACACACTATATTTGACCATTTATCCTATTGTAATGCACTTTATGATTCTATTATACATCATCCTCATCATTGCACGTGTCGTTTAGCGTTTGTTTTTCAAACCGAGGGGCAAATCAAACTTATTTTCTGTGGTAATCGACAGCATGTCATCGGTTCTGCATTTAAGAACCTGGATAATGTCTTTAAACCCTAGAATCATGAAACAAAGCTTGATGCGTCATTAAGTGTTTCTGCAGCACAGTATTAATAACCCATAGTTTACTACTAGCATCTGGCTGAAGTATCCGTCACATGGACAAATGTCATTCACCAGCGGTTTTGCATAGCTTGAGTGGTGCTTTCACTGTGTTTAGAGGAAGCATGAAACGCTATGGTAAAGTGTGGAAGCTTTGTGATTAAGAAGTTTAGTAATTCAGTTGTTGAACAGCTAGTACGCCACTCAACGTGATGGCAAACTCCAGAACTGAGAGTGATATCCAGCAACAAGAACTGGATCAAATGTATCATTATGAAGGATTATGCGTAACTCATCTCATTGTGTATTAAACTATTTTATACCATGTACTGTCAGAAATTGCTGCTCTTCATTTCAAACATCTTGGTAGTCATTGCAACTTTATTTGCATGACAAACGAGTTGTTCTATGGTACAAATCCAATTATTAAAAATTAATTTAAAGGTATACTTCACCCAAAATTGAAAATGTACTCAGCTTTTTTTTTTTGGAAATAGGCTCATTTTACAACTCCCCCAAAGTTGAAAAGTTGAGTTTCACCGTTTTCAAATGCATTCAGCCGACTTTCTGATATTTAGAAGAATATCAGTTACCAGACAGTTTCTGGTCTCATTGACTTCCATAGTAGGAAAAAATATATACTATGAAAGTCAATGAGACCAGAAACTGTCTGGTTACTGATATTCTTCTAAATATCAGAAAATTGACTGAATGGATTTGAAAACGGTGAAACTCAACTGTTTAACTCTGGGGGAGTTGTAAAATGAACCTATTTCCAAAAAAAAAGTGGAGTAGTATCCCTTTAATGTCAGTCCATTCTTGTATGAGTAAATAATGGCACTGCAGCAGTAAAAACCAATCTAGACTAAGAAAAGAAAGTCTTGAATGCATGCAAAGTTTATTCTCGATCTCGGTGAGAGTCTCTGTGTCGTCTGTCCTCCTTTCTGTTGGAGTCTTTTTCTCGGCTTCTGTCCCGGTGGTGTTTAGAGTCTCTTTTCTCTTTGTAGTAACCTCTATCGTTTTGCTCATTCCCTCTACCCCAGTCGTTTTTCCTCTCCCTCCATCGTCCGTGTTCCCTATCTTGTGCTTGGTCTCTTTGCCTTTCCTCCCTCCCGCTCGACGCGTCCCATCTATCTGCTGCTCGGTTCTGGGGCATCATGGACGCCAGATTGATGGGCTTCCGGAAAGGTCTATCCCTGCCTCCAAACCTCAGCTGACCGGATTCCTTATTGCCACCTTGACCTCCTCCGAGTCGGCGAGGAATCCATCCCTGGAGCGTCCGCTCTTGCTCGTAGTCCACGAAGAGCTCGTACTGGTCCACGACCAGCTTGTTGGCGTCTCTCCAGGCTCTCTTCACCGAGCGCTCTTCCTTGTACTCGACGAAACCGTAGCGCTTGGAGAAACCCGTCACAATGTCTCGGACCAGACGCACCCTGCGGACGTCTCCAAATTTGGAGAAGACTTCCTGGAGCTTGTCCTCAGACGTCTGCGGGTTCAGCCGTGCCACGAACAGCGTCAGGTGAGGGTCACCGGTCACACCCTTGTTAGGCTGGTAGCGGGCCAGCATGGCCCTCCACACGGCTCTGTCATGCGGTTCCACATCTGTGCCGTCGATGCTGCCCGCTCTGAGGGGGTCGTAAACCTGCGCAACAGGACTCCACTCGTTCATCATCTGATGGGAGAGTTTGTGCAATAATTACTGCAAAATACAGTTCTTCATTTGAGAGAAATCTGTCATAAATGTTTAACCCTATGTGAAACTTTAGGTTCTTTGCAGACTTGTAATATAGCGCATGAGTCGTATGCACTCGTTTTATGACAGAATACTGGTATTGGGTCGATGGAAATAACAGAATACTGGTACTGGGTCGACATGAGGGTGAGTAAATAATGACACAACTGGTTTTTGTGCGAGATATTATTTCTAGCATAACGTGGGTTCCAAAGACAACACTAGCGAAAACGCTTCTATTTTATTTGTTTGTTTTAAATCTTTGGTTTTGAACTGACATGAACAGAACTTGATGCAGTGTTACTTTAGTATTAGTTATATATATATATATATATATATATATATTAGTACTTTTGTTGTCTTTTTGCCATTTGTATTCGTTTTCTTTTTATATTACTATTTAGGTTTCATTTTTTTAACTTCAGTTTTAGTTTTTTTACAGCTTCAATTTACCAAAGCGTTATTTTAATTAGCAAAAACGTATTTATATAATAGTTTTTTTGATGATAATAATAACCCAGCATGATTATGATCAGTGGAAACAAGGACATCTGATCGTTTGTAACGTTACCACCCAGTGAAAGGCCTTTCTCCACGCCTTTAATTGTTGTGTACTTAAGCGATTCACTACGTTTTAAGATTCTGCTTTTATACTCGTTAACAAACTGGACGATATTATCCCAATCCGAGCACACATGAAGATGTGTTGTACAATTTTAGTGTTTAAATCAGTCATACCTCTTTGAATTCACTAACACCTTATATGCTATTGATATTATATTTTTTTGTAATTATGTATAATGTTATACACATATTTTTACATAGTACAATAAAATAAAGCATCGAAACCTTTCTTTTACAGCCAATGATCAAAACAAACCTTGTGTGTCCGCCGCCTAAAACTGTCCGTGTGGAAACTCCGTCTGTGCTGTTCGACGGGCCGTGTTCGTGTCCTTGTCGGTGACGTCGCCGGGCATGTTCTTAAAGGTATAGTTCACCAATTATTTTTTTGAAATGTTGTCATTTACTCACTTTTAGCTTAGTCCAAACCCTGTATGTGTTTCTTTGTTCTATTGAACACAAAAGATATTATGAAAAAATGTCGGTAACCAAATATTTCCTCCATGATATTTTTTCTATACTGTGGAAGTCAATGGGGTCCATCAACTGTTTAATAACCAACATTCTTCAAAATATCTTCTTTTGTGTTCAACAGAAGTATTTCATGCAGTACGTTGAATATTTACCCCAATCTAATGCGTACAAGTACAGGATTAAGAAAAACATCCCGTCCTTCGGATGAGATGTTGAACCAAGGCCTCGGCTTTCTGTGGTCATTAAAAATCCCAAATTTGCCCCTTGGCCTTTGTCCATCATGGCCTCCTAATCATCCCCATATACTGATTGGCTTCATCACGGTCACCTCTCCACCAGTAAGCTGGTGTGTGGCGGGCGTTCTGGCTTAACATGGCTGCTTGTCACATCATCATCCAGGTGGTGCTGGTCGAGGAGAGTCCCCCTTCCATGTAAAGCGCTTCAAGTACCCAGAAAAGCGCTATATAAATGTAACAAATTATTAAAATTAATTACAGATTTTTCAATTTTGTGTGAACTATACCTTTAGAGAGGTTTGACGTTTAAAAAGAAAGACCATTATACAAAAATTCAATAATATTCTAATTATAATAATAATGTTTCTATCTAAAAGTGTAAGACCACATTAAAAATCTGGGAAGTTTAAATGTAATTTTGAAAAAAAATAAAAATAAAATCATGACAAAACATGCTAAATTTTTAAGTCACTAATCAAACAAGCAAATTTGTGCCATTGACCATCAGCTCGAGTGTAATGAAAACCAATAAAATTGTATAAATGACAACAGAGACTTAATTGTTGCATAAAATCATTTATTTAAACAATGCATCGACCATCTCACACAGATTGATTTGAACACTCCCCGGGCCGTCGGAGCTTTCGGTCGTCAACGCTCGGCTTGTGTGTAACAGGTACAGCTTTGTTCAGGTTAATGACGACACACCCGGTAACATTTCAAATGATATCAAAGTTTGGTTTCACATTCCAGTTTTCTGAACCTTTTAAAACGCCTCTCCTTTTAGCATCCCAGGCTTTCTGCGTCAAACATAAACGTTTGGGCATTATAAATAATTATTGCTAAGCCTCTAACTACCTTACATTAGATTAGATTAAGAAAACTTTATAAAAATGCAGAAAGTTGGACTATAACTGCATGCTTTGGAAGCACCGATCTACCAATATATAAAATATACAAAAAGAAATGTGCCGAAACTAGCATGTCATAGAGCAGGATAAATATCTTAAAAGTAGGACACGTTGAATATGTACCGCAATCTAACGTGTTACTGTTACTGTGTAACATACCCATACACTTACTAGCCCAAAACATTCTCTGTTTACTAAGGCAATAATTACATTAAAAACGGTCTAGTTAAGAAACAAGGAGTTTTCCCGTCCTGAGTCGGGACGCTACTGCTTCAGCCACGGGTGAGCTTCGATCGAAGCTTTACTGCGGTCGCCGTAGTCGTAAAGCAGCTCTTCTCCTTCCTGGATGTCTCTGGAGGCCACGAGGATAAGATGAGGTATTCCATTAATGTCATGGAGTTTGGTTTGACAGTTGCCGGTTTTACTGTGGTTGATGAGCCTTCCCAATCGATCGGACTCTTTCGTAGCGTCCACGCTGTCGGGGAACAAATGCACAAGTTTTAGACCGCGCTTATAACCGTCTTTCCAAATGGAGACTATATCATCGCCCAGCTCTAATCCGCTTCTTTGAAACGATGTGTATTGTGAAAAGCCAAGTCGCTGGTTTTATAGCACTCGAAGCGATAGAAAAGGTGTAAGTGACGGAATCAATGATGCAGACTTCAAATATAAGACAAAAGCAGCTTTAGCAAGACATTATTCAGCTCAATAACTTCATTATGAAGAGTTCACAATTCGGCTATAAGCAGCTCTACTGAAAACGGCTCGAGTCAGTTCGATGTTGAATCAGTTCAGTTCAATAAGTGAAAAAAATTGATTCAGCTGAAAAGGAGAAGAGTGTCATTATGCAGCTTATTTCAGTTCAAGTTTTTTTTTGTTTTCCCTCAGTGCGATAATATTACTGGATATTAAAGGAGTAGTTTACTTTTAAAAAAACTTTTGCTGATAATTTACTCACCCCATGTCATCCAAGATGTACATGTCATTCTTTCTTCAGTTGAAAAGAAATTAAGGTTTGTTGAAAACATTCCAGGATTTTCTCCATATAATGGACTTCAATGGGAACCAAACGGTTCAAGCTCCAAAAGACCGTTTCAGCGCAAACTGCAAACTGTTCAAAAGGCTTTAAACGATTCCAGAATAATGGTCTTATCAAGACGAATCGATCGCTCATTTAAAAAAATTAAATAACAAAGTTTAAGTTTTATAAGCTCAAATGGTCGCCTTGCTCTGTTCTGTGATGCGCGTTCGTGACTCTCCTGTTCGAACTCGTTCATCAAAATGAACAAATCTTTCCCCGAGTCAATTCGTTCATTTCATTCGTTTCAATTCGTTCATTTGTTCATTTTGTTTAAAGCCCTTTGAACAGTTTGCACTGAAACTGTCTTTTGGACCTTGAACCGTTTGGTTCCCATTGAAGTCCATTATGTGGAGAAAAATCCTGGAATGTTTTCATCAAAAACCTTAATTTCTTTTCGACTGAAGAAAGAAAGACACGGACATCTTGGATGACATGGGGGTGAGTAAATTATCAGCAAAAGTTTTTTTAAAAAGTGAACTACTCCTTTAACACGTTTCTGGTTTCACTGGTCAGCACGAAAATCAATCAACGCCATTTACTTTCCTCTAGAAGTGAACAAGTGTTTTAATGTTGGTTCAATTTCATTCAAATAAACTCAAGAAAAACTAGATAAAAAGAGAGGAAAGTAGGTGTAGTGCTTGAACCTACCAATATGTTTTGCTGAGATACTGGAAGTAATACATGTAGCAGCCAGTGGTCGGATCTTGTGCATATAAAGCCTCCCTTTTTTTGGCATCGGTAATCTGGAGCAGATCTCCATGGTACTCCACTACATACTGCCCTTTCTGGAACATCTGTGTGGCAAAAACTCCCCTGCCCTTTCCTTCAATGTACCTGACCTGTCAAGACCGACATGAAGGTACGTTTGTGTCCGTCCAGCAGACTTCAACATTCAACTCAATTCACTGTCAAAGATTACCATCATTCCATTCTCAATCCCGTTTGTGATCAGCATGTCTATGTGCCTCTTCTCTTCACACTGTTGACGGAAAACAGGCACACACGCTCACATCAATGTTACAGCTTTGGCTGATGTAATGCATGGAAAACATGAATCTGTCCTCTACCTTCAGTTCGCTTTTGCTTTTTCTGCAGCTTCTTCTGATGGGAAAATAATCTGTAACCTTTCGGCATTGAGGGATCTTGGTATCAGCTCTGCAAAACAAGGTCATTCATAATTCATATTTTATTTTCTATACAATGATGTGTTCTAATAAATCATTAACAACAATATAAAGGAGGAAAAAATAGAAATATAATAATAATACAAGTAACTATTATATTATTTTAGTATAATTAATATACTATTATAGTTTTTATAATATTTTGAATTGGATTTTAATTTTAGTCATTTAGCTGTCTGTCAGTTTTACGGTTTTCAATTAGGGCGGTCAAACGATTAATCGCATCCAAAATAAAAGTTTGAGTTTACATAATATATGTGGGTGTACTATGTATAATTATTTTATATATATATATATATATATATATATATATATATATATACAAATGCTTGTATATTTGCTTGTGTGTATTTATATATATAAAATAATTATACACAGTGCACCCACATATATTATGTAAACTCAAACTTTTATTTTGGATTAATCGTTTGACAGCCCTAATTTCAATGTATACATCATGTTTTAGTTACTTTTGTCAACTTAAATACTAAAGTTTCCTGAAATAAAAGTACATTTTATATGTAATTTCAGTTAATGTTTCTATGTATATATATTTTCAATATAAATAAAAAGGGTTAACAGTAATTTACTTCCTTCAGCAGTAAGTAAATAGTAAAAATTCTGCAAATTGACAATTCACAATAATTATAAAAATAAAAAGGCTTGACAATTGGCTAAACAAAACTAATTTCTCCAACATTTGTGCAAAAATTCCGGTCTAAATATTGTAATCTTAAAGGGATAGATCACCCAAAAACTTAAATTCTGTCATCAATTACTCATGTTGTACCAAACCTGTATGAGTTTCTTTCTTCTGTTGAACACAAAAGAAGATATTTTGAAGGATTTTGGTAACCAGAGAGTTGATGGCCCCCACTGACCTCCATAGTATGGAAAAGATAATACTATGGAAGTCACTGGGGTCCAGAAAAAGCAAAAATTGTGTTGTTCTGTTGGATGAACTATCCTTTTAACATCTGCGAATCAACTTCACCATTGACTTACATTCTCGGTGTGGATCTCTTTACTTTGAGTTTGCGAGGGGGTCGTTTCCTCTGATTGGAGGAAGTGATGTCACTGCCGGCGTGGATGTATGATGCGGCGCAGTGCAGTTGACGCGTCTGCTCCTCTACTCTGTGCACCGAGTGCTTCAGCTCTTCATTCACAGCCATTTTTGGGAGCATGAACTCACCATTTACAGTACTGACTCTCCTGGCTACAATTCACAGAAACGAATGACTTGCAACAAATGTAAATGCGACACATTCATGCAGTGAACATCACCAATGTCAAGACAGACAGATAATGCATTTTGTTCGTCCTTACAATCTCCATGCTTCTGTGGTTCACTCTGCGTGCAGAATAAGCGGGAAGTTTTGCCGTCCTGGATGAGTTTGACGGCGATGGCTTCATGATGCGGCGATTTGGAGCTGCTGTGCTTTAGGAGACGGTGAAATGGCGAGTGTCCGTTGCATATGACGTCCTGCAAAAAAGCGGGTTTTAGAAAGCAGTCGCCAACTGAAAATGTAGCTTCCTTTTTTGGTCATTCCACTATAATTTTTAAAACCAACATACAGGGTCAAAAAAAATTTAGTAATATACAGCTAAGCAATCAGCAACACATTAGGTGCATAAATAACAGTAAAAATGTAATGTATGTAATATTACATATTGTGTAAAATATACTAATCAATCGTGAATTATAATTAGAATTACTTGTGGTAATGATAATAATAATAATAATACTATGTAATAGTACATATTATGTAAAATAAACGAACAGAATTAGAATTACGTGTAGTAGTATTAATAACAATGATAATAGTACACATTGTGTGAAATAAATATAATTAGAATTACGTGTGGTAGTAATAATAATAATAATAAATGTAATAGTACACATTGTTCAAAATATACTAATCAATCATAAATTATATTTGTAACTACTTATGGTTTTATTATTATTATTATTATTGTGTATTAGTACCTGTGGATAAAACTAATAAATTAAAATTATGTCTGATATAGGGGTGTAACAATATATCGTGCCACAATATATTACAATACAAAAATGCAACAATATCTATCGTGGATAGTCCCCTCAAATTAAAAATTACTGTGTGAGAATTTTTTTTTCAGAGTTTTAGTGTCAGTACTACATTGAACTACTATATATAATGTATAATAATGCAATGGGGGAATATTTGTGGCTCCTGCACTGTAAAAAAAAATATATTTTCATGATTTGTAATCACAAATCAACTTAAATCATTTATGTAGTTTAGATAACATAATATTTTGAGTTTCTGATGATTAAATCAATCTCCTTCGTTGTTTTAACTCAATTTTTCCATTTCAATGAACTTAAGACAACCAGGTTATTTCATTTTTTAAGGTTAAACAAACAATATTTTTTTTACAGTGTGATAATGCTAAATGTCTGATGTTACCAGTAAAAAGTGGACAATATTATTTTAAATATATCTAGTCAGTGAAAGAGTGCAAGCATATTCATCTAAAATAATTCTGGATTTTCAGCTTCAGAATCATGAATATTTTTATTCTGGTGTCACCATTGTCATCGGCTTACAAGCACCAAGTCCAAACCTATTTATTTAAAACCACAAGGCAATATCAAATTTAGCATTTTAATCAACTGTACATTTTTGTTAACCTTTTATCATATGTCTTGGAGTATCACAATAATGTCGTATCGTGAGTTCAGTCTCGTGATATGTATGGAATCGTGACATGAGGGTATTGTTACACCCCTGATATATAATAATATACAATAATCATAATTTTAAAAAAAGTTATGTACTTATTGTGTAAAATATACTAATCATCCATTATAACTAGAACTACTTGTGGTAATAATAATAAATGTAATAGTACTTATTGTGTAAAATATATTAATTTTAATTTTAATACTCAACTGTACATTTTTTGTTAACCTTTTATCATATGTCTCGGAGTATCGCAATAATATCGTATCATGAGTTCAGTCTCGTGATATGTATCGAATCGTGACATGGGTATTGTTACACCCCTGATATATAATAATAATAATATACAATAATCATAATTTTAAAAAAAGTTATGTACTTATTGTGTAAAATATACTAATCGTCAATTATAACTAGAACTACTTGTGGTAATAATAATAAATGTAATAGTACTTATTGTGTAAAATATATTAATTTTAATACTACTTACTTGTAGTGGTAATAATATTGATATACATTAATATAACTAATATATTCAATTGAAGGGGAGTAACCAAATAGCGATTTTCAAAATATCAGATTTAAATCGATCACATGTAGTGATTGTGATGTTATCGATCGTCGATGAACACGCCCACACTGGGCCTGTACCAGCCGCGCTCGCGATTCGCGATGTTATAACACTGCACGCCGCAGCGCTATTGTTCTTTTATCGGCTTTAAACGTCTTGGTCAACTGTACTAACACACCTATCGTACATCCCATTGACTACACACACGATTCCACATCCATTCATACAACTTATCAAACAGGAACCAGAATCAGTCAATGGAGTTCGTGTGTTTCGGATGGAGAGTTGAAGATATTAGATTCATCAGGACACAGTCTGTGATAAATCTGGCGTTAAACGCTCGAGATCGCGTCAAATAATCATCATCTGTGATGAAGAAGCCGTGTAAACCTAACGTTACCCCGTTCATCATCTCAGTCCACTTTCTCTTCCAGCCCTGTTGTTGTGAAGCGATGGTCCGGTCCGGTCCAGTGTTTTCTCCTCTAACGTTACACGTCTGTCCTTCTAAACTGCGACGAACGAGGACATTCAAAAACAGCTCCGTGTTTACGAAGAAAAAAAAAAACAAGAAACTTTCGAGCTGTTTTAATTAATGCTCCTCCATCCGAGCTAGTTTGTACAGTTTCACGCCGCCATGTTTGCACTTTTATCTCATTCATGGGAGGAAACCATGTGAGCATTTAAATAACCAATAATGTTTGGAAGTTGAGTTCAAATTGCCCGGAAGATGGAGCTGTTAGACGGAGCACTTTACAATTTCTTACTTATATAAAATATGTTTATAAAAATAAAACAGTTATTATAGGCTGATTTAGTATTATCGTGAACTATTAATCACTACATGATACTATATTTTTAAAAAACGTTATAGTATAAAATATACAGTATTTCATAAATCTATTTATCCATCCGACACATTGCAAAGCATCCCAGCATCAGTATATTAAGTATACAAAGATGATTTAAAGAATTTACTTTTTATAGTTTTTTCAAGTTTAGGATATTTTAAGGAGACTATTGCAGAATACAAAATACAAAGATTTGTTTAAAGATGTTCTCGTTTTGTGCATTTATTTGATTGAAATAATTCATAGACTGAACACACTTTTCATCAGATATATTGGGTGTTTTACTGTTTTCTAATTTGTCAAACAGCGTAGGTCAGGTCAAGCTCTGCCTTTGACCTTACCAGTATGGCTTCAGCAATGTCATTTTGACGTGTCATTGGAGGAAATTATTTTTCACAGCGTCACTTCCTGAAAATGAGTAAGGGGGTGGTCACGTGACATGGCTTCGGCGCTCTCCTTTCTCCGACTACTTTTGATTTAAAAATATAATTGAAAATCTCGATTCATATGGACGGGATCCGGGGTTTTTTGAAAGATGGTCTTAGGTCGGCTCTCGATCGATGCACGGCGACGCGTTATACGCGGCTCGAGGGGAACATTTCTGGACACAAAATCGTCTGTTTTGTGGGCTGCAGCGTCACGTGACCAGCACGCGCCTCGGGTAAAGATGGCGCCCGACGGTTAGAAAACAAGCAGCGCAAGCAGCGGCGACATCCTTCAGACCGCCGCGACGTTTGGGATCCATAGAAACCGAGTGGAGTACGTGTTTGAATTTTTGGACATAAGCTGTCAGACTGCGGGTTTGCTCTGTTTTTCCCTTATAATCACATTCCGGTCGGTTTGGGGCCGCTGTTCAAAGGAATATTGAGTTTTATTGCGTTTCGCGTGAAAGCTGAGGGAGTCTCGCGACTGGTTCACGCGCTAGGCAGCTAACCCGAGGCGAGCCGTTAGCGCACTTTTGACAAAGTCAATGACAGGAATTATTCGTTTAAATGTCATTGTTTGCCACGTATTCTGCTTCTCATGTTCTTTTGGATTTGTTGAAACCAGGTTATAGCCTATTTAAAGGGCGTTTTAGCTCATGTTCTGCTATTTAAAGTTGATTAATCGATTCGTGAGGGGAAATTAGCTAGCAACCACGGTACCCTAAGCAAGTCTTGAGGAGCTGTTACACCACATGCAGCATATTTTTAAGGAGTTTTTTTAGTATTTAATTTGTATTTAACCTGCGATTTGTTTGTTGAGGAAGCATTTAGACTTCTGTGCTGAATATTTAGGAACGATTGTCTACTCTTGTGCATTACAACCGTTAAATTGTACGGCAGTGTGTTGTTATTACTATTATTGTGTAATTTCAATGCTTCAGAAATAGTTAGTTTTCTTTTGTTTCTAGTCTGGTTTCTGTATGTGTAAGGTGGATGACATTAACATCCAGCAGCAACGTCAGACCAGGAAGTCTAGTTTGATCAGTTTAGGCAAACACGTGTGAAGCTGGATGTTGTGGTGAGCCGTTAGCAGCATTACCGTACTTAAGTATGTTTTTGCCCTTCTGAATGCATTTCTTGACTAATCAGTTATATTTAGATTTATATGTGGTTTTGATATGTCTGTAAAAACATCCAAATACATTCTGTATTTATCTTGATAATTAAATTGGAAAGATGTGAACATTACGTTGGTGGATGTCATTGTCTTTATTAAATATGTGTAGTTTAAGAGGACATCGATTTATGTTAGAAGATCAAGTGTAATGTTTTGCAAAGCAAATTCTCTTTGTAATCTTTAATATAATGTTGTTCTCTTTCTTTCTCTCTTTTAGACAATGGATCCTGGACAAGATTTGCTTCTCGCTGCTCTAAGTGAAAGTGGAATCTGCCCTAATGATCTGTTTGATGTTGATCCTCAGGACACACTTCCACTCCCTGCCTCACAACAGGTCATTTAAAGCACATACATGCAACATGATATACAATTTATTTTCTCGCAGTCTAGTTGTACTTTTTTTTTTCTTTACTCAAAACTAGAACTGTATATAAAGACAGATTTTACAAAACTTTTGATTATTAAAGGTGCCATATGGAATAATTGAGGTAAAAATATCCAAAAAATTAGCTACACGCATCAAAAGAATGAGAAGAAATAAGTGCAATGATGTCATTAAAAAACTGACAAGTTCTAGTGCTGCCGAGATATAAACCTAAATTAGCATGCTAAATTACTAGCCCTGGCCCGGCAGGTGTCGTAATACCAGTTCCGGCCATGGGAGGCGGTATGCGGGCGGGCAACGTTACCACCAGCCAACTGCAATAGACGAGTGAGTCGCGCTCACGCCGACTTGAACCTGATGTCAGTCGTGTGGAAATGCAGCCCACTAATACATTTCAGTTCAGGGAAGAGTTAAAAAATGATTGGTCGACATTATGCATGAGGAATACATTTTGGTAAGTTGTAGCATACTGTATCCTTCAACAGTGTTCGTGTTCTTTTTCCATTAGCTAGTAGAGACGATCGGTTCACGTGCGTTAGGGATCTTTGGTGTAACATGTACAAGCGTCAAAACGGTATTTATTGTTTGAAATGCGTACGAAATTGACAGAATCCGAGAGCTTAACTAACCTGCTTGCTAAGTGTCAATTGCGTGTGTCTCAGGGTGAATTCGTTAAGAGTTGGCAGCTCTGAATGGCGCTAGGTTGATCAACATCAGCGAATGCTGTCTGTCAAATTAATTCAAACTAACAATAAAAGTGTAATATGAACAAAACGAATACCATAAACTTCAAATAATTGCCCAAGCTTTTATTTTCCCATATCGTCGAAATGCACCAGCTTGTTTTTGAGACAGGCGTCTATGAGGCGGTCTTCATCATTTAGTGTTGAGATGTTGTTCATTGAGTCTCTGCTGATCTCTAAAAATCTCCAAATGCTCCACGTGAAACTGCGGTCTTCCAACCTTTTACTATCATGTCAAATGGTTTGAATAACATGCGCGATGGTAGGAGCACAACTCATTTACTGGCCGTATACTGCCCCCATCTGTTTTGGAATATGGAGTAGGATTTGATTTATTATGTCAGATGGCACCTTTAAGGCTTCTCTTCTTTTTTGAAGGGGCAAGTAAAAGATAAATTTACTTGTCCGATAGGACAAGAGGCATAATTAAAACGTCAATAACATCAAAATAACAATGGAATCATCAAAATGCAAGAGTGATTCTGGTTTCTATTACATCTAGTATATGTGGCGATTGATGGTGTATAATAATCTATAATGTACTGATGGTGATAGGTTGCTCTATTGAGGCTCACGCAGACTCTGGAGGAGAAATTGAACCAAATGAGTGCTGCACACAAACATAAGCTCGTTTAACATACCATGGTAAAAAAAAAAAAAAGTGAAGTTTTTATGTTTGTAACGTATGAGGGATAGTTCACTTTGAAATTAATTTTTTTATATGTTTTAGCTTACCTCAAGGGGATCCAAGATGTAGGTGTCCTAACTAGTGTTGTCAAAAAACTCGGTACTTCGGTACCAAGTCGGTACTAAAAAAAAAAAAATGTTACGGTACCAGCTTTTCTAGGTACCGAATACCAGGTTCGTCCAGTTCTGTTCTAGACGCGATGTCTGAAACGTGCACAGTTGCGTCCTCTTCATAACGCTGATATGGCTCTCTCTCTCTGAATCCACTTGTTGAAACGAAAGGAGGAAAGAGCTACACATGGAAATATTTTGGATTAGGCTAATGTCACGTTGCCATAAGAGGCCGATTACATGCAAATTCGCAATTTCAAATATAGGCGCGATTCAAGCGCGCTCATAATAAAAACTCGTTGGCGTTGCATAGCAACGACAGACGCCGTGTGAGAGCAAGCGCTTTGGAAAGAATAAGCACGCGCAAAAATATAATTAAAAAACACGCGCGACATGTGAACGGCCTCTAAAATGCTTTCGGGGTAGTTTTACGAGTACATGAGCACAGTAGTATCTACCCGACACCAGAGTACTATGGTATTAGTATTGTCATTTAATGTCAGTGCCAGTTCTAGGCGTATTCTTGCCTTTATAACTCAGCAGGTTTAAAAAGCCTTTTTAAAATTAAATATGAATGCAGTTTTAGATTAAATAAAAGGACAGTCAAGTCAAATAAAACATGTTTTATGGTAATGCTACAAAGATACCATTCATAAACATTACTTAGTTATCATATCAACACATTGAGTGAACAATATATTTTTACAACATTAATTAATGTTTGAAAATGTTATTTATTACAAACACCTGATTGTTAATGTTTGTTCACTTAATTCATTGTGCATTAAATAAATAATGGATTAAAACTTTACAAACAACTTTAAAAATGTGTTAGTGTATAATATTGTTTATTTTAGGTCATTTTATCTAATCTTTTTCTAAAGTGTTTATAATACAAATGTACAGTTTCCATACTTGTAACCGTGATAAACACTTAAATATATGTAAATTTAAACTAAGCTTTGGTACCGAAATTGGTACCGAGAACCGTGAATTTTAACTGGTATCGGTACCGAATACTGAAATTTTGGTACCGTGACAACACTAGTCCTAACCCTAACCCTAAGCTAAAACATATCAAAAATTAATTTTTTAAAGTGAACTATCCCTTTGAGCATCACATGACCAAAAGTGCCGTCTTCAAGAATGCCATCAACATGAATAATGTGACACTGATTTCAATTAACAGTTAAATAAACATTAAGAAAATATTAATGTCACTTACATTTTAGATGCGATATGAACTTGTTAGCAGTGAAAACAGCCAAACAAAGATCACAGCAGAAATATAG